GACAAATTTTATTACTACAGAATAATCCACTTTTAAACATGGCAGAAGCAAGACGTTTACCAGTATTAAAATTAATGACACCTGCTTTAGCAAAATTTCAGCCTTACATAGGTCAAGAACTATTTGATGAATACTTGGATAAGGTTATTCAGTCATGGGCATATCTTGAAGGACATATATTAGTTCTTGAGAATGCAAATGCAGGGAATTTTAACGATGCAGTCAAGTGTAATATTTTAAAATCTATGATGGGTGAAAAATATGCTCCAGTACCAGCAAATAATGGTCTTGTAGTGAGAAATCTGGCTATAAATTCTCCAGATACATACGAGATTGGTTAAGAGCAAAATATCAGCGGGAGACCGTTGGAAATCAACAATTAGCTATTCAAAGATTGACTTAGAAAAAATATCAGCCCTATAATACTCCAGATACCTATAAAGCTAAAATTTAACCATTATTATTAAGAGTAGCAGACAATGATGCACAAGTTTTAGGATTCCTAAAAAGCCATTTGACAGATGATTTTTATACTTGGATGAGAATTGCTAATCCAGTAGGCATTAATGCATTTTTCACCGAACTAAAAAACATGTGACTGGAGTGCGCACCAAATTTGAATGGTCAAGTTTCTCAACAATCTTCCTATAACACCAAAATAATAGAAGCTCCTATAATTCTACAATCAGTATTTCCTATACCTGATACACAAAAAATGATTGATAAGGCATTAGCGAAACAAAAATCCAATTATGATGCTGAGATAGAAAAATTGAGAAAGAAAGTTCAATTCTCAAAAGCACAGAAAACACAGACACCAGTTTCACAAACCGTTGAACTGGTTAGACAGCCAAGAGGCCTCCTATCAAATTTAAAAACAGAAGAAGATTATAAAAATTATTATGTAGTGAAATACTTTAATGATTTAGATATATATAGTAATGAAGATTTAGATTCACATTATCCTAAAAAACCTTTTCAAAAAACAAACTAATTCACTAGAATGGATAGAATAGAATCAAAAGTAGACGAAATTGGACAAATGACATCTCAATTTAGAAAAATGGTACTTGAAAATCAATTCAAAAAACCAGTAGCCAAATCAAATCGAACACAACGATATTATTCTTTTTAACCAATAAATTCTAGCGTTTCAGTTAATGAGAAAGGTAATGAGTGTGGATATGATGAAGAAAAAGATATATGACTTGATTCATCAGAAAAAAAAAACAGGTATTACCAGTAACATATAATGAATTATTTCTAAAGCTTTTACCGGTAATGTGAAAAATGTGCCAGTCTCATACAGTTCAGAAGGAAGAATCGGATGAGTGGTTTTCATCTCTACAATACCTGAATGCTAGTATAAACGATTTATCTATTTCTGAATCATTCTTAGATCC